ACACACACACACACACACACACAGCTGTGTACCTGTGTCTCTGGGTCCTCAGATCCCAGACTGGCGGCTCCTAGTTTCACTACATCTGCCAGTTTGGTGATGGTGCACACGGAGGACTGGGCGGCCTGGGCCAGTTTCTCCTGACTGGCTCCAGCACCAGACACCAGCAGCTTGGTGTCCTCCACCAGAGCCTTCGCCGTCTTCAAGATACATTCTCTGCACACAGAGGAAGCAGTTTATCAACTAAATGCTCATTTATCCTCAACGTTACAATCTTCAGTCCGTAGTCTGCGTTCGTTTCATCTTTATTTGTACAAGTCCTCTGAAACCAAAACAGACAAAACAGAGCAGTACCACCAGACACCACGAGGGGGCAGCGTAGCCAATCAACTACGATGACCATGAACACGTTCTGGTTTCTATCGTACCTGTGGTCGGCGAAGGTCTCTGCGTTCTCTCTGTTCAGAGTCCCAGCGGTAGCGAACATGATGGTGGTGTCGAGGTCAGCGATGATTCCGGACACGGCGCTGGCTGCTGTGATGCAGGCCTGGGTGCCACGGTTTCCTGCCTGCAGCGACGCCAACACATGGGAGACCTGCACGAAGACGAATGTATTACTAATATGCTCATAACAAACGTCCAGGGTCATTCCTGCGGCTCAGCAGCAACGTCCCCCAATCCTGCAGAATCAAATCATCTTTGATTCCAACCGAACGTTCGTACCACATTTGACGAACAACCTGAAAACATAATGTCTCTGGCCGCTGGCTGTTGCCGCCGCGCAGACATAAAAAGGAAGTGATTGTTCTGACCTTCTCGGAGACTTTGCGGGCGCTTTCGATGAGCTCCTTCTTTGTGAACGAGTCGTTTGGGCTGCACTGCAGAGCTCCAGCTTTGGTCACCAGACCCGTGCAGCTGAAACCGAGCTCGCCGACCTGCTTCTTGATGTGAGAACCGATCTGAGAACAAACACAGGAGTGAGATCTGGTGTCTCCTGCAGGAAGAGACGACACACCGAGGTGCGTTTGGTTTATTCACCTCATCGTTCTCTGCAGTCACAGCTGCATATTTGGCCTCATTGGCCAGATTTCCGAACTCGTTGGTGAGATGGTTGGCCAATCCCCCGAGGTCGTCTGGGTTGGTGTTTGACTTGGTCACCTGAAGAGGAAATGAGAGGAAGTTATAACAAGCAGGTACGGAGGGGCGGGGTGTTGTGTTTATGACTCACCATCTCCTGCACAGTGACGGCGATGGCCTTGGCCGTCTTCACCATGGTCGTCTGATAGTCCACAAAGGTGCCGTCAGGTTCCAGCATAGGCGAGTCTTCCATCTTGTTGATGGAGTCGTTGATGGAGTCCACCATCCCGCCCACGGCGCCCGCTGCACTGGCGGCTTCAGCCAGAGTCGCACCGAGGTCGTCGACGGCTTCTTTCATCATCTGCACCGCCTCCTCCAGAGCCTCCTGCATGTGAGCGGCCTGGAAAACAAGAAAATAATCAGAACACACGTTTAGACTGAAATATTCAACCAGTCCAATAAAACAAGTCAGAACCACAATAAAATAAAAATCAAATCAAACACAGCAAATAAAATAATATGAGATAAAAACTGATCCAACAAAATTCATAAAAGTTTGAACCAACAGTGTTTAACATAAAAATAAACATTTTAAGAATTAATTCTGAGCCAAAGGTGTGAAATACTTTCTGAGTTCTTTCAAACCTGATGATGTATAAAGTGTTTGCAGGAGCCTGTATGACGAGCGTCACGTTCAGTACCTTGGGGTTTCCTCCCGCCTCCTTGGCGGTGTAGAGCATCTGCAGGGCCGACTCCGTCAGCGTTTTAGTTTGGTCTAACACGGCCATCTGCTGCTGGCTGCTCACGATCTTGGACGCTGTGCCGATGGACGCCATGATGAGGGGCTCGAAGTAGCTCGCCATCTGAGACACCTGTTTACGTTTCATATAGAGACAAGTTTTAAACAGAGATTCTGACTCTGACCCCTGCTGGTCATCGTTCATATTGCAGTGTCTTTACCTTGTGTCCCAGCTGAGAGGCCTCAGAACGAGCCGCCACCGCCACAGGGTCAATCAGGTTACTGATCTCATGCACAGAGGCCGCCATCTGCTCATGGAGAGCCTGCAACACACACACATTTAAAACACATGGCACCGCCGACAGGAGGAGCACATGAAACTACAGCACAAACAATTCCCTGCATCCAGTTGGTGGCGCTATAACCGTGACTTCATATTGTCATGTAGGCGTCTTCAGGCCGGGACGCCCATCAAACATGTGACATTTGGAGAAGATCCCCACGGACACTTCATTTAGCGAAATAATCTGCGTGAGCCTTTGAGTTGATTTGGAAACATCAGGTCACATGTAGTTTGTTTCTGTGTGAGACGAATGTATCGCTAACATGTGGATTCATCCTGAACAGGAGCTGAGGCCATTTATCCAAACTGCTGCTCCAACATCTGCAGATCATCTATGAAACTGGGCTTTTACCTCCATGGAGATGTCCTCTCGGGGTGTGAGCTGCTGGCTGATGGCGGCTAGAGACGCCTGATCCACCTCACGGATGCAACCGTTCAGCACCTCGATGGCATCGTCACATTCTCTCTGACCAGGAGCCTTTTCTCTGCACACACACACACACACACACACACACACACACACA